ATAGCTCTTATCCCTGTTGTAAATTTACATTTAATTTAACGATTCTTTCATTAGTGTTCTTCTCCTCTCCTGGACTGCAAGGTTCATGAGAGCAAGCACCATGTCCATTTTTGTTCACCATTATCTACTTAACACCTGCAGTTGTGTATAATACTTTCTTGGAGTGGAAAAGAATAAATCAAAACTTGCTTTATTTCCTCATTCTCTAGTTTATTGTCATCTTCCAAACTCTAAGGCAGCTCAGTGTTATCTCCTCTCATTTCATCGCTAGGAGAGGTCCAATGGGGTTTAGGCCTGAAATACAAGGCCTCTTCGCCATAGTCCTAACAGACAACATTTTTTGTGTCCACACAGCATGGTGTCAGAGTACTGTGCAATGGTTACCAGTCCCAGGGGAAGACTCCGAATACTTTTGCCCATTATATATTGGTATCGGAATTGCTAACCGCCCCCTAACCCCAAAACAAAAAAAACTCCCAATACATTCAAGCACCAGATGGGACAAGATTTTACTTACACAGAGAAGGGACAAAGCAAGATCAGCTTCAATAGTGGGTTTTGGTGTCCCATGGCCAGCAGGTCTTTCCTGGCTGCTGACACAGGGTAATTGGCCTCATGCTGCAGTAGAAGGAACCTTGCCTCCTCACGTTGGAGGACAGATATACAATGAGGTTAGCTAGGTGCCATATGATGCATACACTTTAAGCAGAGACAAAAGAGTACTCATTGGGCCTAAAAAACGGAAACTTATTTCTACACAAGGCGATAAGCTACACACAGTCTATGCTGGCTTTCAGGAACTGTTCCAGACACAAGACCCATTCTTTTTTTTTTTTCTTTTCAAACTGTATCCAGCTTTATTAAAGATGCTTTTCATAAACATTCATGGCATTTCAGGCAGGACATGGGCAGACAATCATTAACAGTATACAACAACTTTCAAACTTCCTTCTTCAATGGACAACAAAACCATTCTTTTTTTTCTTAAGATTTTATTTATTTATTTTTAGAAAGAGGGGAAGGGCAGGGTGGAGGGGGTAGAGAGAGAGAGAAAGGGAGAGAAACAGATGTGTGAGAGAAACATCTATTACTGGCCTCTCTTACACCCTCAACAAGGGACTTGGCTCACAACCCAGGCATGTGCCCTAACCTGGAATTGAACCAGTGACCTTTCATTTTGCAGGACAATACTACTTAACTAACTGAGCCGCTCCAGTCAGGACCCAAGGCCTATTCTTATGTGGCTGCCTTTTTCAACACAAATTCTTATAGATTCTCTTTTTTTCTTTTTTGTTTTTTCCTTATGTTCTTTCTTTGCAATTTCTCTGTAGATTCTTAGATCTTCCTGCTCCTTGTTATTTTATGTTCCTGGGCCTGGACGGAACCCAGGGAAAGAAAACTGTGTACAGAAGGAGACATCCCATTTCATGGTCCTGACTGTTCACTAGAAGTGGGTTCTACACTGAGATTTGGGAGTCAAAGCTTCATCTCATCAGTAAAACACAAAGATTTTTATACAGTACCCTTTATACAAGCCTCCTTTATTAACCTATGGCATCAATAGAAAGTTCAGGATCTCAATCTACTCCATCTTTCCACCATGGAGACAAGACTCCCATGAACCTCAGGCAAGAAGTTATCCAACTTAAATGCTGGGGGTCCTGTTCAATTCTTACTTACAGACATCACTTACTTGTTGATCCTGCTAAGTCTCTTAGATCTGACTTCAGTCACACACAAATTAGGAAGCTCCTTATTTAATCAGCGGTCTTCAAATAGTGTTCCAATGACCCTTAGGAGCTTTGCAGATGTGCCTCTGAGGACTACTGCAGGGGAAAAATAGGAAATGAGCATTCAGGCTACCAGAGCAACATGTAAGATTTCATGTTATAAGCCTTTATTGGTGCTTTATTATATGCCTTTAATGTGTGTGTGAGTGTGCGATCATTTTATCTACAAAACAACCCTGCTATTGTCATCTTCTTTGATAGGTGAAGAAATCAGGACACAGAGGGGTTCAGCAACTAAGGTGATGCAGCTAATAAGTGACAGAGTTAAGCTTGGAACGATGGTATTCTGATTTCTGAACCAGCGTTCTTGGATTCTAAGTGGAGTTTATTATGTGTTAAGGACTTTGCTGAGTGCTTTACAAGCATTATTTCATTTAATCCTAATAATGGGCCTGTATTATGGGTACTGTTATCTTCACTCTATAAGTGGAAAAGTCTAAGGATAAGGATTATCTACAGTCCGAGGTAGCAGAGCTGGAATTTACACTTGGGTCTTCCTGATCCAAGAGCCCATGGTCTTAATTCCAATGCTGTACAAATATTCTTGTATGTGATGACTAGCTGTACATGTGTGCTCTTTCTTCTGCTATAGTATGAGCTCTTTGAGGAAGGAGAACTGTGATTTCTTCAGGTTTGTCTTTCAGGAGCCTTAAGCAAGGTGCTTGACTCAGAGTCCATACTCAATAAATGCCAGTTGAATGGGAGTCAAGGTGTGCAAGAGATATGAAGCACCTTGGAGTTGACAAGCTCGAGGAACTCTGAGGCCAAGTGATTGAAGTCTGTTTTTGTGGATGTTGAAGAGCTAGGAAAGGCAACTGAAAACTGCTTTATATGAAAATCATTCAGAAAGATAGGTAGCGCTGTAGTTGTACACTTGGTAGTACACTTGGGTGGTAGTACACTTGGGTGGGGGAGGGGGCTAACTAATTCCCCAGGGAGAGACACAAAATGGCTAAGGCTTGGTGTGGTTACCATGTTTCAGGATATAGTTTTCTGTTTTTGCTGTTCCAGAAAGTTAGTTCTCTCTGTTCTCTAAAATGATCAGGTTTTAATGTTGACACGTTAAAGTCTCAAGCAAGTATTCAATAACCAGAATATCATGTACTTAAACCAAATATTTTGACTGAATTTTTTATTTAATTGTAATGGTATGGTTATCTGAGAAAGGCAGAGGCAGAATAGAAAAGATGTGCATTCACTAGTGTCCTGTTTGGAGAAAATCTGAATGAAGAGAAGGAAATGGTCATCCCAGAACAACAAATGAGGCTGGGAATAACTATCTAAGCCTATTCAAGGAAGGCAGTCTGATCTAAGCACACTTGTTTAGGTAACTCCTATAATAAGTGCTCATTAAATGATAGTTGTTATTTTTGTTAAAATAGATGAGAATGGTCCTGGCAAGGTAGCTAGGTTGGTTGGAGCATTATCCTGATGTGTCAAGGTTTCCAGTTTGATTCCCAGTCCCCAGTCGGGACACATACAGGGTTCAACCATTGAGTGTGTGAATGGGTGGGGAGGCAGGTCAATGTTCTTCTCGCTCCCTTCCTCTTTCTCTTTCTAAAATCAATTAAAAAACTAAAATAGATGAGAACGTTTCCAGGTACCCTTAAAGGAGAAACACTTTTTGAGATTAGGTAACTTGTGTTCTATTTCCATGCTTAGCAAACAACTCCCTGACCATTTGACTTCATGTAGAGAGTGTATACAGTCAGGAAAGTTCTGAACAGTCTGAGTTCATCTCAGGTTCACTTTAATGGTGTTTCTTCTTGTGAATTAATATCAACAATTTAACATTCTGGAGCATTGTTTTGTGTGCTTTCTATTTTATTTTTTAAGTACAATTTCCATTTAATCTTTTTCCAGAAAACTTTTCTTTAGCTCCTTATGTGGGCTTTGGTGGAGGTCATGGGGCAGCACCTTCAGGGTGCTAAATCAGTGTGGGGTGTTTGGTCCTTGCAGGCTTCACAAGAACATTTCCTGACTACTTTGCTGTGAATGGCACAACTCACACAGTAATGTAGTTTCACACACAGCTTTGGAGGCACATATGTGTTGGAGACACTCATTTTGGAAATGTCCCTAACCCTGGGGCCTCTATGTTTCGAAAGATGACCTTCTTCCTCTTCTTTTTATTGTTTTTGGAGAGGGGGGGGGATAGAGAGAGAAAGGGAGTCATTCCACATTTCCATCAACCTTAAGAGGTAGGTACTATTATTATCTTCATTTTGCAGATGAGAAAACAGGCACAGAGGCTAAGTAATTTGCCCAAATGAGTAAATGGTGGCTCTCACTCCAGGAACCACCTATTGTCCATTCGTTAAACTACCTCTTCTTTCTCACGATCATATTAAATTAAAGAATGTGTATTTTGCAGTGAGTGAGGGATTGAAAACATTTTTTCTTATCTGTAACTATTTTAAAGATGTGGTTTTTGCTTTCTTTGTGAGCTTTGAATCAACTGATAAATGTACATGTAGGTATGAACATGGTGGACTGCTTTGTTATTTGTAAACAGTAAAATAAAAACCAAACACCGTATTACAGAGCAGGCATTATAGAACATGCCTGTGATTGTGCTTTTCACTTCTCAGTTTTCATGATTGGCCTATCTGTTCTTGTGTTTAAAAACACCGTAAGATAGAAACTACGAATGCAGACGTAAAGTTGTTAGTGTCTATCAAATTGAATAACACGCATTTATTGATCCTCCTGGGCACCGTATCTGGGGAATATCTATGGTAGTTTAAAATAACATTTTGTGGCCTTTTAGAGTTTACGAAGATCCTTTTAGAAGATGCTTACGCCATACGTTAACTGCAGCGCTGAAAAGAAAAAGAAATCGCCTTTTCTCTTTTACCTCCCTTTTCCTTAACTCCTGGAAATCACGAACGTTTATCAACCGACCAGTGTCCTAGACCAGTTCTTTACTGAAGCTTCTCATTCTAGGTATGGTTTGATCCGCGAGTTCTGCATTTAATTTTCTCTTTTCCTTGGTGAGGCTCCCACATTGGCTGGAATCTGCGCATGCGCAGAAGCTCAGCAAAGCGGTCGGGTTCGGGCTGGCACCTCCCTCCTCCCCGATAACGGGAAGCGGGTGAGTGTCAGGGAGCGTGCGCAAACCTGGCCGGGGCGCCGGGGTGGTGGGTTACGCCTGGAGAGCGCATGGGCAAACTGTACGTCCGTTTGTCCGGAGCGGAGGGGAGAGTGGGCGCCATCTTCCTCTAGGCTCACTGAGGGCTTTCTCAACCTCTTCTGGGGAGGCAGCTGCGACGAGGAGTGTTCCCTGCCCCCGGCCTGTGTGTCCGACTCCGCAGCAGTGGTGTGTGTTTATTGCCAAGTGCGAAGCAGTTACCCTGGGGGCGTCGGGGCTGGGGAGGAGTTGGCGACTGGGACGGAAGAACTGGAAAGGCGGGGCCGGCAGCCGCGCCAGGACCTAGCTTAGCTTCTGCCGTTAGGGCACTCTCTTTACTTGCTAAAACACTGACTCTCCCGTCAGCCTCAATGTGCTGTTGTGTGTGCGCTTTCCAGTTTTCTTAAAAGTGAAGATCTCGAGGGATTTCATAGGTATTTTTTTTTCTGTTGCTATGTCATTGTAGTCAGTGGTGGCCGGAAAGCGCTGAAGGCCCGGTCCGTTAGGCTTGAGGGCCAGAGTGTTTCAGATTTGGGAGTTCACGCTCTGGCGAGTTAGGGTGTTTGCCCTTGGGACCCGGTAACGGAAAGGCACGGAGGTTGGGCGGTCCAGGTTAATTTGAAAGCGGATTTTGTTGGAAGGTCTGGAGACAGCATCGGATCGCACATAGCAACTTGGGCCTGGCATGAAAAAAAGGAAGCTCTGACCCCTGGGAGTCTGGACAAAGGCTTTGGGCTATAGAAGCGATGCCTTCGGATGATCCCCATTTGAGGATTGATGGATGATGATGTGGGAAGTCCTGTGCCATGTGGATTCGTCTTCGTTTACAGTGCCTATTGGGAACTATGGCTCTGTCTTCATGTCTTTGGTTTTCATTTTAACCATTACATTATAAGAGGGTAAAAGGCAGGTCATCATAAAGAATAATTATGGACTGGGGTAGATTATTTTGTGCAGGGGAAACTCATGCGTTTAGAGTTCGACTGTGCTTTACCATAAGCGGGTTTTAAAAAATGTCGCATTTTTCGCTCCCTCACCGTGTTTGGAAAATGACTCGTTATTCTCTAGTTAAAATCAAATGGATCTGAAATAATACCTATTTAAATTTAGCCTCCAGTTTTCCTCTTAGGCTTGATTAGAAGATGTACGTTTCATTGTTTAGTGATAATGGTAATCAAAAGGGATTAACTGTAGGATAAAAATTGCAGCAAAATGAGTTTAAAATGATTTTATTAATTTCAGTGACTTGCCCTTAAATGAGCTTTTAAGGACCTATTTCCTTCTTTTCATAGGTTTGAAGTTCTAACTGCTCACTGTCTTTAAACCAGTACAGTCACAAAAATACTTTTGTTGCACTCATAAGTAGAAAAATTTTAAGTGCTTTGGAGAATTTTGCTTTTTGCTTTTTGTGTAATGTTCTAAGAATAGAATTTCTGGAGAATTTGCTTGAGAAAATTACATGGCAACCACAGGAAAAGTGCTCACTTTGAGAACTGGTCACTTATAGGTGGTCTCTGTGTTATTGTAGATAGATAAATGGGGCATTGCCCTAGTATTTGAAGGGCAAAAAATTTAAGCATTATTTATATATAACTGTGGCAAGTTAAAATGCATTTTTTATGTAGTCTGCTTGAATTGGAATTCATGAGATTTGCATTCATGGAACTACTTAGTTAAAATACTGTTTTTAAGTTAGTGAGGATAAATTACTAGAAATATTTGGAATTTGACATAAATATTCCTTGAAACATCCCTAACTCTTCTTGTAACTTATTTATGTTCTCAAGGTAAATCCCTTTTAAAATTAAACAAAAAATTGGGAGGAACAATGATATGTACCTTACACTGCTTTCTAAAACATTTTGAAAGAAAGGAGCTAAGTCAGTTTGCAATAAGAAGGAGTCTTAGAACTTGAATGGGGACAACTATTCCAGAAGCTGTTCATACTTCTTGTTAAAATGCTAGTGTAAATGTTGGTTTGTTGAAGAACTAGGCTTATATTTGATTTTTTTGATAACTGTGCAGATTTTTCTTTTAAAGAGACCATTTTTTTAGAGCAGCTTTTTTAGGTTTATGGCAATATTGAGCAGGAGGTACAGATATTTCCCATATACGTACTCTGTCCCCACATGTACCATGCAAATATTTTAATAGTATATCTCAATACTTTTAATATTAATTTGACATTGATAATTAAGATGCAGAACATGCCAAGTAATTTCTTGATTATCTTTTTTAGTTTAGCTTGTAGTTTATAAAGTTTACGCTTGGACCCTTTTCAAAGGAAAATAAACCTTGCAGACCTCAGAGAATATGTCTTCAGACCCCACTTTGTGGAACAGTGATAATTAAGTGTAAGTACTGAATTAAAGCAACACTTATTTGCACATTAAAAATAAATTTATAATGATTAACTTAGTGGCTCTTAAGAACATATTTGGAAAAGCTACGTTAAATATTGTTAGGTTATCTCTGAAAGTATTAGATGTGAATTTCCTTAAACACTAGGTTGAGATTTTTCAGTAGTTAATACTGGTAGTCCTCAAACATTCCATGTATTTTTATTTGTCTACATTATCATTTGGGTTTGGAACCCAGGATAGTTGTTTGAAATGGAATAAACTTATAAGCTTGAGAACATTCTGTATCTGAACATTTTCTGTTTGATTTGAGATGAATTTTATTAGTCACTTCTTTTAGGAGTTTAAGGAGTGGTATAATAGTTGAGTTTAAGGAATAGTAGTAGCTGACATTTTTGATTTTAGAGCTATTTCAGTATTTGCCTTAATTATACTTCGTACTTAATTATGTTTGGAAGTGTGAGTTGTATATGTAGAACTTAAAATTGTATCCAAATGGTAGCCATTATTTGGATTTTGCTTTATAAATTGGTTTTTGAGGTGTTTAATTCATTTATCATTTTGAATAGTTGCCTTTTTCATTTGATTTGGTCTTTTGTTTTGAAAGGCAGGGAGGAGAATTGCAAGAGTTGGACATATTAATGAGTTAGGTGCTTGGTCTTTTCATGGTTGGAAGAGAGAGAAGTTTTGGGAATTTTTTGTTTTTAAATTGTCATTTTACTTGTGGAAAGGTTGTCTTTTTATTTTTTAAGTGGATGTACAATTTATATACAGTGAAATGCACAGACCTTAAAGATAAAATTCGTTTAGCCTTGATAGATTTATATAACCATGTAACCAAAACTCCAATTAAAATGTATAACATTTCTATCACCCCTTTCTTCATACCATTTCCAATCAAGTTTAGTTTATAGAAGGTTTTTTGAAAAATAATATGCAGATGTCTTCTCAGAATTCGTACCTCCTTTTTGCTAAAGAATGATTTATTTCCTCTTGGAACAAAGAAGACCATCTTATAATGCCCATAGTTATGGTTCCTTTTATTGCTTTGCTATTTTAATAGGTCATTCTGAAGTGAGTATCTTAATCTGGCGTTGTTTAGGATCAATTACACGGTCCTGGGATTAATTATATTTCATTTTCTTTCCACAGTTAAGTTGCTTTTACAGAATTAACAGGTGTCCAAGAAATTTAAAAATACAAAGGTAAGATATCCAGAGTTTAAGGCTTTTCACAGAGGCTTGACAAAAAAAATGTAAAAGTAGAATAATACATATTAGGTATCCATGGCTTCTGTACTTTATGTCTGGCCAGTGATGCACTAGTGGTAAGCAATTTATTATCATGAGCAAAAATTATATACTAACCATAGATGGCTTTTATAAATATGTAAAATTCATCATGGTAAAATTCTTTCATCCGCAAAGTTCTCTCTCGTGTCAGTAGAAAATATGTTTCTTAGTGAGTCTGAAAATAGTTTGGTCTTGTTGTGAAGCAGCACTTGGCAGGCTTACAAAGAAGATTTTATATTTTTGATGTTCATACTATATAGGAGAGGTAATATGAAAATGTATCTTCAAAGTAGTTGGTTTATTTGTATGTTTAGATAGGAGAAAGTTTATTCCTTATTGTTTTTTAAAGAATTAGATACAATCAATATTTCTGTGAACTCGTATTTTGTTTTCATTTATAAAATGCTGAAGAAAGTAGGAACCAAGTAATTATTAAGCTTAGTGTCGGATAAGGTACTTCAAAAATAAGACTTGCTATTATGTGTACCTTTTTGTCTGCAGGTCATTATTGCTGTGATTTGAGCTCAGCATGGCTGTAGTCATCCGTTTACTGGGGCTTCCTTTTATTGCGGGGCCTGCGGATATTCGTCACTTTTTCACGGGATTGACTATTCCTGATGGAGGAGTGCATATAATTGGAGGGGAAATTGGGGAGGCTTTTATTATTTTTGCAACAGATGAAGATGCAAGACGTGCCATAAGTCGTTCAGGAGGGTTTATCAAGGATTCATCTGTAGAGCTCTTTCTTAGCAGTAAGGCAGAAATGCAGAAGACTATAGAAATGAAAAGAACTGATCACAAAGGAAGAGAGCGACCAGGATCTGGGGCATCAGGGGTTGGCTGCTTATCTAATTTTGTTGAGGGTATTAAAGAAGAAGCAAGTAATTCTGGATATGGCTCTCCGATTAACCAAGATGCTGGGTTTCATACTAATGGTACAGGACATGGTGATTTAAGGCCAAGAAAGATACGGCCATTAAAGGCAGAGAATCCTTACTTGTTTCTACGAGGTTTGCCTTACTTGGTAAATGAAGACGATGTACGTGTCTTTTTCTCTGGTTTGTGTGTGGATGGAGTAATTTTCTTAAAACATCATGATGGCCGAAATAATGGTGATGCCATAGTAAAATTTGCTTCATGTATTGACGCTTCAGGAGGTCTTAAATGTCATAGAAGTTTTATGGGTTCCAGATTTATAGAAGTAATGCAAGGCTCAGAACAACAGTGGATTGAGTTTGGTGGTAGCCCAATTAAGGAGGGTGACATTCCTATGAGAACTGAAGAACATTCTCCACCAAGAGGAATAAATGATAGGCATTTTCGAAAACGATCTCATTCGAAATCTCCCAGAAGGACACGCTCTCGTTCTCCGCTCGGATATTATGTTCACTTAAAAAATCTGTCCCTAAGTATTAACAAAAGAGATTTAAGAAATTTCTTTAGAGATACTGATCTGAGTAATGAACAGATTAGGTTCTTATATAAAGATGAAAGAAGAACAAGATACGCCTTTGTGATGTTCAAGACGCTGAAAGACTATAACACTGCTCTGAGTTTACATAAGACTGTTTTACAATATCGTCCGGTTCTTGTTGATCCAATTTCTAGAAAACAAATGCTGAAGTTCATTGAATGTTATGAAAAGAAAAGACCAGCATCAGTAGAGAAAGAGAGGCTTGGACGTGTGTCACAAAAATACTCTCAAGAAGGCTACTCTGGCCAGAAACTCTGCATATATATAAGAAATTTTCCATTTGATGTTACAAAAGTTGAAGTGCAAAAGTTCTTTGCAGACTTTTCTCTTGCTGAAGATGACATTTATTTGCTTTACGATGACAAAGGCGTTGGTCTGGGTGAAGCATTGGTGAAATTCAAATCAGAAGAACAGGCCATGAAAGCTGAACGTTTAAATCGTCGAAGATTCTTGGGGACAGAAGTACTGTTAAGACTTATATCTGAGGCACAAATGCAGGAGTTTGGTGTAAGTTTTTCTTTGCTGTCCAGTAAGAGAAGGCAGGACCATTCAAAATCATGTGATAGAGATGAACCTTCCCATTCATTCGACTCAGATGATCCACCAGGATATGCAGTGGGCCTTCCTGAAAACTTCAGGCATCTGCAAGAAGACTTGAGGCAGCTGGACAATTTCAGGCATCCCCAGGGGGATTTCCAACAGCCTGATAGGCGCCCTCCAGAAGACTTTAGACATTCCCCGGAGGACTTCAGGTGCACCCCAGAATTCAGGCACTCTCGCGAGGGACATTTCCGGAGGCCTCCTGAAGAGGACTTCAGATGCTCGTGGGAGGATTTCAGATACTGTGGGGAAGAAGACTTCAGGCACCCGAGGGAGGAGAATTGGAGGCGGCCACCGGAGGAGGATTTCAGACAGCCCCCCAAGGAGGACTTTAGGCGATCCCCTGAGGAGGATTGGAGGCGACTTCCCAAGGAGGACTGGAGGCGGCTTCCCAAGGAGGATTGGAGGCGTCCTCCCGAGGAGGACTGGAGGCGACCTCCCGAGGGAGACTTCAGGCGGCCACCTGAGGAGGATTGGAGACCATCACCTGAGGAGGACTTCAGGCGGCTCCCCCAGGGGGAATGGAGGCGACGACCTAAGGAGGACTTCAGGCGACTTTCGGAGGAAGACTTAAGGCAACCTTTCGAGCAGGACTTTAGGCGGCCACCAGTGGAGGACTTCAGACGGTCTCCTGAGGATTTCAGGTGTTCTCCTGAAGAGGACTTGAGGCGGCACCCCCAGGAGCATTTCCGGAGGCTGCCTCAGGAGCATTTCCGGCGGCCGCCCCAGGAGCATTTCCGGCGGCCGCCCCAGGAGCATTTCCGGCGGCCGCCCCAGGAGCATTTCCGACGGTCGCCCCAGGGACACTTAAGGCACCCACCGGATGAAGATTTCAGGCGCCCCCCGGATGAAGACTTTAGGAATCCTCCTGAGGACGACTTCAGGAGCCCCGAGGAGGAAGATTTTAGATGCCCTTCTGATGAGGACTTCAGGCGGCTCCCGGAGGAAGACCTCAGGGCAGCTCCAGAGGAGGACTCTAGACTCCCTGACGATTTTAGACCGCCTGGTGAGGAGTTCAGGAGCCCATCAGATGATTTTAGAAGTCATCGCCCTTTTGTGAATTTTGGCCGCCCAGAAGGTGGCAAGTTTGATTTTGGAAAGCGTAATATGGGAAGTTTTCCTGAGGGGAGATTTATGCCTGATCCAAAAATAAATTGTAGTTCAGGTAGAGTAACACCTATTAAGATAATGAATCTTCCATTTAAAGCTAATGTTAATGAAATTCTAGACTTTTTTCATGGTTATAGAATCATACCTGATTCAGTTAGGATACAGTACAATGAGCAAGGGTTACCTACAGGGGAAGCCATTGTTGCTATGATAAACTACAATGAAGCTATGGCTGCTATTAAAGATCTAAATGATAGGCCAGTTGGCCCGCGCAAAGTTCGGTTAATTTTGCTCTAGAGAGCACTTCTAAATTCAGAGTTACCTCTACACAGTATTGATGCAGTAAAATGCATTTGTTTTTAAAAAAGTGTTTATTTTAATAACAATGAAAAGAAACATTTTAAATTTGACCTGTGACTGGAACAAATATTAGTGGAATGTAAATCTAGCTTTCTTTTGCTTGCAAATTGCCATTTATTTTTTCTAATTAAAATTATATGTTTTTTGTTTTTGTTTTTGTTTTTTGACGGTAGGGAAGAGGACTAATTCCCTGAGTGCATTGATTTTTGTTGATGTCATGGGTATACCTCAAGACCTGTATAAAGTAGAGCTGTATTTGGGGAAGATAAGTTTTATATTCAGTTTTGTTTGCATTCTGTAGTCTATATCTTTTACTCAAAATGTATAAGGAAATGGTCAGTAACTGATTGTTCAGGTTTAGCATTTCCATTGCTGACTGCCTGCAGAATTAATGCCCTCTTCTATGTCTAAGCTATTACTGTGTTAAACTTCCTATTATAAATACTTCTAAATGAACATACTGTGAACTTGAAATTTACTTATGTAAAAAGGTTAGGAGATTCTTAGTTTCCATGTTCATGACTTGAAAAGTTTTATAAAAATAAAAAAATTGCAACTGAGTAGACCAACTAATTAACTTGTATTTGTATAAAAGGGAAAATGAATTACAGCTTTTGTGAAGTTTTCAACAGTTACATTAAACAATATTTATGATAGGAGTGACCAAACACTCTAATACCAGTGTAGAGTGGTATGTATAGTTCTATGGTTTCTTCAACATCTCATCAACCAAACTGGTAAGATTAACTCAAAATACTTAAAAGACAAAAAATAAAGTAATTGTAGGTACAAAGAGACTTTCAGGCTTATGCTGGGAACACCAGATAAATAGATATGGTTTATGTTTCTAGGAAGAATTTTTGAATGATTTGTGTAACTTCTATTTTTATTAGGTTCTCATTTTTTAATTTTAAAACTTTGTATCAAAAGATTCAATAACTAAGACTGGTGAGATCAAATTTTGACTTTTGATATTCAACATTTAAAATAGAATTTTGCAAATACTGGATTTGATTTTTCTATACCCATAATATTAATGGCTAACAAATATTGGGCACTTACCAAGTGCTAGGAAGTATGAGTCCTTTACATGCATGATCTCAATATGGTAAGAACCATAGAGTATTATTTACCGCTCTTTCATTGATGAGATAATAAAAGTTTAGAGAGGTTACATAACTTGCTTAAAATCATAGCTAGTGAATCATGGAGCCAGTTTCAACACAGACTCACCAGTGACTTCAGTTTATGTTCTTAACACATGCCTACTAACTTTGTTAAATGGTACTTTAAGTTTTAGTAAGACCTTGATAAAAATATTTTCAAGAATGAATCATATTTTCTTAACTTTTGTTTTACAAAATGACATTAAAAAATAAAATTGGTGTTCTCAAACACTGCTAATAAAAGACAAAGTAACTTGAAAAGGTTTTATATATCCAGGGTTTTGGGTACTAACATTATACATTGGCTTCTAATTTAAAATTATTAATTTTATCAAACATGATTTGACTTTGGTCTTTTATAGTTACATACAACAAAGGTAGGTAATTTTTTTTCAATTCTGTTGTCCAGCGATTTCCCACGTTGAGCAAATAAATATAAAATTTGAATTGATATGCAGTAGTCATTTAATAATAGGATAGTGCAGAGATAGAATACTATGACTGTTTCAGTACTTAGCCAATTAGTAGTATAAGTATTTTGGAGTAATCTTCAGTGATTAAGGAAGTTTGAGAGAAGTCAACCTAAGTTGGTTTTTAATAATAGTGAATATCCTGCTTGCTAGGAAAATGAGTAAACTGGTAAGCTTGATTCAAAAAAAGCACATCAGTTTGGCTCCTCAAACTGGTAAGCTCCAAGTAGCTAGGAGAATGATAAACTAATATTCAAACCAAGCACAATGAACAAAATAGGAAGAAATATTTTTAAATGCTAAAGATTATATACATGGCTCATTTGGTTAGCATTGTTGAGGAATGTATGGAAGACAAATGGTTTTCAAATACGTATCAACAAAAGCTAAGATGAAGTTTAAAAGTGAAATATCACTGAATGTAGAATTGCTGAAACTAGGCTGGTGTGGTGTGGTAGTGGTGGATAAGAGGCCAACAATAGTGAATACAAGCTTTGTATTTTGATTATAAATGTAAAAACAATGGATTGATATGAAGTTTACTCTGTATCAGTTTAATATATTTTTAAACTTTTTAAAATAAAAAGTTTATCATATAAAGCTGGATTCTGCTGGTTGGGAGCCATTTTTTCATCTTTTCCCAACTCTTGTCTTCAGTGATACATTGACGACCAAAAGTGGCCATGGGAGTATTACACCATGGAAATTGGCAAATGCAGCAAATCAGGGCGTTTTTCATTCTAGCGAGCCAGTTTACCAGCACACCACCAATTTCAAACACACGAAAGAGAACTGTGTACTAAAGCCTCATATACCTATCATCCAACTTCAGGATCATCTCATAGGCAGTTTTATTTTTCTTATTCCCAGATGTATCAGGTAATGCCATTTTAATGATCTTAAACATTTTCGTCTAGAGGGCATATGAAAAATATAGATCATGTCCAGAAAGTAAAAGTAAGCCAAGAGATAGGTAGGAATCATATTAGGAGGGCACTTTTACCACTTACTGAGAACATGGTCAAGAGCAGTAATTCTTAGTCCATATGTCATGTTAGGCAGTGACTGTGTTACCTCCATGTTTGTATTAAATGTTAGCTATCATTTATTGAGCTGCATTAGATACTACATATTTATGATCTGTAATTATGTAAATTAACTTATTTAATCCCAGTAACCCTAAAAACCTTAAACCTATTTTGGAGGTAAGAAAATGGAGGCCTATAGGCTAAATAACTGCTTGAGGTGGTTGCCTGTTTTTTTTACAAGAAAGGTAAAGGGTTTTTACATTTAAAGTGGTTACATTTAAATGGCTGCTTTTTGTCTTTTGGCCCACTAATATAAAAAATATTTACCACCCAGCCTTTAAAGTTTTCATGTATGTCTGGTCTGAAAGAAACTTAATTTGACATCGATGAAAGTATTATCAAGTATAGTATTCCTTTGTCCTTAGAATGCTTCTTGGAGGTAGGCATAGCATACATTCTATATCAATTATTTGCTGACTGTTTTGACTTTACAGATAGGGCAACTGATGCTCAAGAGAAGTGAGTTGCAGCAAAAGAAGTAATATAACCTTGTTTTTCTTTCAAGTACTATAGCAAATTTAAATACTGGGAAAATAAAAATGCAGTGATATCCTCAGGTCCTTAAGAATACCAATTTATTTAGGATTTTAAAATGTCTTGAATATTTTAAAGTACTTAAGTAATTTTATCACATAGAAATATTCTTAGGAAGCAGTACTTTGCTAAGAATGGAACCATAATAAAGTCAAAAAACCTTTCTAGAAAGTATTTTTCTGTTACGAATAATTGCTTTTCGTAGTCTTCCCAAATGATTTTATAAATTTTGTAGTTTTTATATGCCTGACTGGGCTCCATGAAATAACAGTACAATTCCCCATCCAAAGAAACAAAAGCATCAGACATACTGAAGAGCTCTAATTGGTTTTACATTTTCAGAAATAATCATGACTACATGTTCCTTTTTATTGGATAGTAATTTGGTAAAATTTCCAGAATTTTTAATTTATGCCTTGGTTTTCTTAGGCAACATTCTACCAAATTATAGCTTTCTAAAAGTTGCAGTACCATGACAACATTAGTATGACAGCAGTTTTGTTTTAAAACTAGAATCAGGCTGAATGTGGCTTGCTTTTAAAAGCTAAAATATATGCTATATAAGTATAGTTGTGTAATACTGATATCCTAGGTTCCCATTACTTTTAATCAAGGGTGATTATGCTCTTGTTGAAAAGTAAATTTATGTATTAAATGATAAAATTTCAGGTGGTAGTAAAAGTGAAAAAGATGGTTTTTCAAGTAAGGCTTTACAGGATAGAATTTGTATTTAATCAGAATGACTAAGGACCCTTTTCTGGTCATGAAAGCATGGTGTCTTAGCCTAAAAGAAGCTAGTGGAATTGTTACTTGCTTTTTTTTTTTTTGGTCATCTATTTACTATTGCAACCTCCACTAGGTAATTAATATGAAATACTTTTTAAATACATAATCTTTTTTTAAAAAATGGTACCTATACAAAAAGATCACATGCTGCTAAACAGAATGTTGAAATGACTGGTGTGTAATGTTTTTTAAAGCTTTCATTTTTGTGAGCATAAATTTTCTTTATTTTTCATTTCCAGTAGGATTTAACTTTGAGGTTTAATGTATCAAGCCAGTATAAAGTTTTACAATTTAGTAATTTTGAATTCCAAGTCATTTAAGATAAAAATGGAAATGTGAAGTTTACTTAAGAAAATGAATTTTCTTGTTACATCTATGTCCTCATAAGCTAATTTTCTTCTTCTGTCACATCTAAGTCTTCATCCTCTTCATCATCATCATCTGCTTGTTGATCCTTTCTTAGTCGACAGGTGGATACCTGTTAAAAAAACATTTAAAAAATGTGTTTAAATATGTTTTTACATGCTTAGTATCATAAATATCCCCTTACAGAGAAGGGCACATAGGACAAATATTTCAGAAAAATGTCTATAAATAATGATTTTTAGTAATGAAACTTCCTTATGAATTACCGAATTTTAAGGTGGAAACCAGTCAAAAGGTTTTCCACTCAAATGTTATTTTTGAATAAAAATGTGCAATTAATCATTCCAGATGGATGCCAGTACTTATAAAATACTTTCAGAAAAAAGAATAGTGTCGGTATATTATGAATGTCAAAAAAAATTTTGATTAAACAATTTTTGGGTCACAAAAACAGGTATTGAGAATGATCAAAGGGATGGCAAAAACACAAGGATATTTCAACTAGGCAGTTGAAATACTCAATTTTAAAAAAAGTGTAATTTAAATGGAACGAATTGTTAATCTGAATTCACACTTAGCTCTGTATTGACTGTTATCACTTGGGTTATCTTGTTCCAAACCTTTCTGAGAGTGATTATATCTTCCAGGGAACATCTGGCAATGTCTGAAGATACTTAATTGTAACAACTGGGAGTGTGTGTTTCTATGTGTAGCGTCTCTTCAGTAGTGACTAGTGGTGCTGCTCAACATCTTTACAATGCACAGGGCAGTACCCCATCACCAAGTTATATGGCCCCAAGTCCATAGTGCTGAGGTTGAGAAACCCTGGGATAATGTATTCTCAAGTGCTATGGAGATGTTAGCTAACTTAGATAACATTATTAGCACTAAACAGTTGTGCAAAACTTTGTATGTCTGTTAATACCAAATTTATGTAATATATGTATATGGCACTTAATGCTGGAATCATAAGGTAAATTGTTTAAGGGGAGAAATGCATGAATATAAAGTAGTTAATAAATACTTAGAGGACAGTCAGATGAAAATAGAAGGCGCTCGGTGATATTTACCTAAAAATTATATTTTGAAAATATTTTGCTCAGTTTCATATTCTGAAGGCAAGATGTGAAAAACACAGCTCTCTAGATCAGGAGTTGGCAAGCTATGGTCCAGTTTGCCTGTGTGGTTTTTTTTTAATAAAGTTTTATTACAGTACAGCCATTTGATTTTTTTAATGTATTGCTTATGGCTACTCTTAGTTGTGACAGAGACCATATATATATGTAGCCCACAAAATCTATTATTTTTCTCTGTGATCCCTTTGAGAAGAAGGTTAACTCCTCCCTGTTCTATATACCAGGCTTTCTGGATACAGAATGAATGAGAAAATTGGTTCTTTACCTAGAGATCTGTGCTTCTGGATCTATGGTAATATTCAGGAAAGGCTCTTTTTAGGTATAATTTCCAGTAAGTTATGATAATGGGACTTAAACCCTAAGCAGTTTGACTTCAGAATCTATGTTCTTCATATTATACCAGAGAACAAACCTAGATTAGCATTCTCTTGTCTTTTCCACCTTGGCTCTGAAGGTTCTGCTTTAGAGAGTAATGTGTGTTACAGTATACAACGTAATAAAATAACAAATGCACAGAGTGCAATCTGGTATCATTTTGCCTAAGAGGATAAGAAAGGATAAGTTATATGAGGTCATAGAACTTGAGGGAAACATTTTTAGTATTAAACAGTTCCAATGGCAGCAGCTCAAATTCTTTTAAGTTATGGTTTTTAGCTTACCTGTCCTGTTCCAGATACACACTTAGCTGACAAAGATCTCTGAAGAGGCGACTTTGAATTTGCTCTTACAATATCTAAACGAGATGAATAATCTGGTGGATACAGAGAATTTCGGAATACCTGTTGCAATGATAAAGCAAAGTAGATATTAAATAATGGAAATCTTAGAAAGCCATGTTAAATCCTTCTTAGTTAAGATTAAAAAAAAAAAAAGATTTATTTTTAGAGAAGGGAAGGAAGAGAGGGAAAGAAACATCAATGTGTGGTTGCCCTCTAGCGCGCCCCCTACTGGGGACCTGGCCCACCAGGGCTAATATTTTTGTTAAGGCAACCTCCCCCAACCCCCCTATTCCCTGGTACAAAATTTCAATTATTGTAAATTAAAAACAAAAAGAATACAAAAAATATTTTAAGTTGTAAAGACGGAAGCTAAAAAATTCTTTTTGAACTATATATGATGATGGGTCCTGAAATAGTCGCTTGAGAGATTTTGCTGGGGAAATGTAAAAGTTCCTACGCCAAAAGAATATGCAAGCCAAGTAAGAAGGCTGCAAATCACACCTTTGAGTCTGCTGGTTGTGCCTATCCTCAACTCTTACCAATTTAACTTCACTGTCACCTAAGAGTAAATTGGAGCCACTATAATTTATGGATTCCACTCTCACTAGGATCTGGATTGCCATAACTTGTCAGCTCTTATTCCTTAAAGCTGTGGTTCCAAATCATAACACTTTTTAAAGCCTCCCTATCTGTATCTTATTTTCCCCTGTTTCTCTAACATGTAGACTAATAGGTAAGGTTATCAGATGTGAATTTCTTCAGTTTCCCTCCCTTTTTCCTACACTCTTAATCCCATCTTTCTTTTTTCTTTAAATGTCATTCTGCCTCTTTCCAAGGTGCTTTTTACCTTTGTCTAAAACTTCAAACCAAACCAGCAAATAAAAGTTTTCTTTCTCTGCAGGTTCCCTCCCAAAGCAAACAAGCTCAAGATCAATTTTTCTTCTTTTTTCTTTAGTTACTTTAAGATAAAACTTTACTCCAGAAAAAAATTGTCTCATATTCTGCTTCCCCATTCATTTGTCAGTGAACTACAATTAGGTTTTCACCTTCCACTGAAATTGCTCTTGCCAAAAATCACCAGTCATCTTTTTGTCATCTTCACTGATCTTGTACTGAAACTTCCAAAGCATGCTGTCACTAAACTTTCCATGTGCAGTTGCTCTATTATATCACATCTTTTTTATTGCTTATACCATAAATATTTTTAAAGAATTTCCTTTAGGGCACTTTTCATTTTTTTTGACATCTTTCTCTGAAAGATCTTACCTATATATAGTGTTTCATGGCTACCCTTCAACCAGTCCTCTCTAGACTCTTCTGATGGCTGTATTTATGCTCCCAGCTGCCTTCTGTTCTTTTAGGCCAGCACTGTCCCCTAGAACTTAATGAGATGATGGAAATGCTTACTGTTCTAGGCTGTCCAAAATGGCCACATGTGGCTCCTGAGCCCTTGAAATGTGGTTCCTGTGACTGAAGAATTAAATTTTTTACTTTAACCTTAAATAGCCACCCATGCCTACTTGGCCACTACACTGGACAGTGTAGCTCTGATTGATCTTCACAATGAAAGACATTACCATATATTTACCCTGTATTTAGTAGACCAAGCTAGAAGCCTCAGCATTCTCCCTAAATTTCTTTCTTGAGGTACAGTGGAATCTCAGGTACCAAATTGTTTGAGATGGCAGATGTTTGACAACTGAGGTTTGACTGTACTTATACTTTAATTTTTGACTACACATTTTTCTTTATGGCTTACTTAGAATGATTTTACTAAAGACCAAAGTATGATTCCTATACTAAAATATGTGGTTCCTGACTACCCAGAGTTCTGATGTCTTAGGTGACATCCACAGCTTAAGATCACCCAAACCTACTCATCACTTTTCACTTCTAGCCTATATACCTACATGCAGAACATGTTATACTCTGACTTTGCAATGCTGGTTTCTCATTCTGGAGTTCACTCATCCTTCAAGAGTCAAGTCAAATTCCATCTTCTGCTTTCCCCTATTCTCTAGTCAGTAGCTCCTACCGTTCATAACCTCATACAGTGTTCATCTCACTGTTTGGTAATTACATGTTTCCACAACTGGTTTTAAGTTCCTCTAATGCACGGATCCCTGTTTTACCTTTCTAACTTTTCCTAGCTTAAGACAGTGACCTGGTAAATTAATGATGTTACGATGAACTTAATCCTAATATTTTGGGGTAAGAAAGAAGACCCAAACTAGAGGATGTCTATATGCATTTCTTTAAACCTTAGAGAAATATGGGAAAAAAAGGAATCAAGGGGTGAAACTTAAGAGGCAAGACCTGTGTTTTAGGGCAATTCAAGCATGCTACTTAGGTTATTTAACAGGTTACTTGAGGACCCAATTTTGGTGCCAGACATGGAACACTGGCATCCTGGTGTGATATAAAAACTCGGTGACTTATTAATTAACAGATATTTGGAAGGGATATAATTTTGTTAGAACTTTTTAAAAAATTTCTAGCAGAATAAAGTTAAAAGTAGGAAGTGGGAGACAATATACATCCTTGGGATAAAATTTGAAACAGTTAAATATTAATGTCTTACTGCAAAACAACAGATTTACAGATTGGCAATAATGCATTTTCCAATATGGTCCAAGATCTCTTCTAGGAGTGAGTCTCAAGATCTAAGTATGCTCTGAAGTAATTGCACAGAAAAAAATGGGCCAGACAATACCTTTTATGTGCAGAACAAATAAGATGATTTGTGATATAGCTAGATGCCTAACTGCGAAAAACTAAGTGCTGCCAGAGTAAGTCTCGGTAGTTCTCATAAGCATGGACTACCTAAGAAGAATATCAAGTTATTTCTCTATCCCTCTCTGCATATTTCCTCTACTTGTTTCCAAGAAACCTGCATTTAAAAGATCATTCCTCTTTGTGGTACTGTTTGATATAATTTTACTTACCCTGGCCCTTACCTTCTGCAGACTATTCTCTTCTCTCCACAATTTCTGTATGGGGTAATAGTAATTAATAGTTTATACTTATAATTTGTTATGCCTCGGAACCTTTGTATATCTCTGTCTGAAAGTTGTTGCCAGGCATTCTCCTACTTATTCCTCAAGCTTCCAATTAAATCACTCTTTTGATGCTTCTTACTATTTGAAATTCTCCATGATACTACACTCACAGCACACTCTCTGTTTTCCCTATGAAACTGATCACATTATAAAACTTAAATAGTTACACTATATATATTTTTTATTGTCTGAACTCTATTTCCAACTTACAATGCTAAATTCTCAGCACTTAGAATAGTGCCTGATTTACAATAGGTGCTCAATACATAATTGTTGAATAAATATTTTATGAGGTAATCACTAAGTTTTAGAGATGAGAATGCTGGAGTGTGAAAAAGTTATCTTGCTCAGTATTTTCCCATTAGAAAATGGGGAAGTGATACTCAAAAACACATCTACCACACAGCGCAGAGATCTTTAGTTTATTATGAATCTCCTTCCACAAACCACTTAGTTGATTAAAAATAGTGATAAGAGAAGCTGTAAGGGAAGTGGTGTAACAAAAAAAGTATCTAAGGGCTCTGGAATGGAAAGGAAAATCTTGGGGTCCAAAGGGCTTGAAGGAACTTTAGTGTCAGTTAAATGGCATATCAGGGGTATTAGAAGGGATCAATTCTAAACCTGCTACTCAATGAAGTATTATTTCTGCAAGAAATGGTTCATGTCACTCATGAAGAACTGCACTTTTGGCAGTATAGTTTAGAGAGGATAAAAACTGTTTTAAGGCTGCTGGATTTGAATCCTAGCTATGTTACTAGTTGTGGGAACCTCTGGGAAGTTTCTTCATCTCACTGTGTCTCAGTTTTCTCAACCATAGAGAGGAGGGCAATAAGTACTTTTATCAAAGTTGATGGGAGGATTAAGATAAAGTGCATAAGATGAGTAGCTGGTCCAAAGTAATCACTACATAAGCATTTGATATTTTATTTTACAAGTGACAGATAAAAGCTTGATAACCTATTTTTTTTTTAAATAGGGCATGAAAAGGAAGTAAAACTAAGAAACCTTAGCTTTAGTATTTGGAAGGAATGGGCACTTAGGAAGCCATCTATGACAAACAGTAAATATTAATGTAATCATATATGCATAACTGATAAAAAACTGTTGAGATAGGTGTTGGCACTGAAAAACTACACATACTAAGACATGTACCTTTTTTCATAAAATCTGGTTTTACTGGAACCAGTGGAGTAGTGGAATGCTTGTGGAAGTTAAGTTAGTAAAAAAGAAATTGGGGGAATCTTCAAAATTCTTAAATGGCAGACACTCCCAAATTCTACCACTTATTAATACAGATGATTATATCTTGAGAAAACATGGCCTTTTACACTTTTACTGTAGAAATAGTAAGTACAAAAGTATGTCTCGAATATTCATTTTATCTATTTCAGCTAAAATACTTTTGTGCTTTTTTCCCCTCTTTTTTTGAAGGTAAGAGGGTAGGACATATACTCTTCAGATATGCTTGTTGTTGCCAGGCTTTGATACTTAATTGCTCTAATGTTAGTTGGCTAGATTTATTTGCATTTCACTATCTGTACAAAGTAAGACATATATATGCCTACATTTATTTCATAGCTTACAGAATATGTCACAGAAAGCTGATTAGAAACCTGATTCTGCTTTTTACTAGCTAAGTGGCCACAACAAGTTATTTAAAGCCTCTAAACATGATTTTGTAGCTGTAAAATGAGAATAATAACAGCACCTACTTCACAGGATTGTTTGAGGAGTGAATGAGAGACTGCACATAAAGCTTTGGGTACTGTGCATGGCGTAAACACTAAAATGTTAGCTCAAATCAATGAATGTTTAGCATACTAAAGTGACTTATTACCAGTCAAAATGATACATTATTTCATGTACAGGCTTTATTTAGATTATATTTTACTAGCTATTAATAAATTAACTCTTGGAACTTTACCATGGTTAATTTGAAAAGTTAAAAATAAATAAATAGAAAATCATACGAGTTTAACTATTTGGGACTGCACACAATAACAAATTAACCACTGTAGTATTCTAATTTAAGATAGTTTTACCTTAAAAAACTAATGCTGTCTTTTAAACATTTTCATATTAATAAAAGAACTAAGCTTAGATAGACATAGTCATACCTCCAAGTCTTCTTCTTCGTCAATCTTTTGTATATTTTGGTAGGCAGCAGTGTAGACCTCTAAAGCTTTGCCATGAAATAACATTTCAATAGTGATAAATTCTGAAAATATTGTCTAAAAAACAAAACAAAAATTTGAATTTAAACTCATAAAAATTGCATTGTGAATGTAGAACATTATTCCTTACTATACTCTTGCCATTTTATGAAATAGAGGTATTTGTTTTTCTACAGAGCAAATTAAAAAAAACCAGTTGCAATGTCTTTTGCAGCAAGACCTTCCAATTACACAAAATACCTATCTCACCATTTACTTACCTCTTATATTTTTAATCAGTTCTCTTTATACTTTATAACTGATTTGTGATAAAACAGATCTAACTAAAATGTATGACATTGTGTACTGTCACCACATGCCTATAAGTATTAGATAAAGCTGTTCAGTTCTGAAGCTGGTATTTTAGCAACTACAACTGATGTTTAAATAGAATGTTTTTTTTGGACAGGAATCATATCCCATTATATTTTTGAACATGTTACTTATAGTCTCTAACCACAAAGGAATTACTTGGTAATAGTGATATTCCTACCACTGATAATAGCAGCATACATTTGCATAAAGCTTCCTAGCTTAAAAATATATGGCTTTCCCCATGTTGAGTTGGAATGTTGAGGCTTGGATCTGATTCTTCAATAGCTCTTGCTCATTGTACTATGTTGTTCTTGCTGGAAACAACCATTTGGTTTACAAATAAATCTCTGTGAGCATGATGACAACTATGACAAGGAAGATCATGAACTAAGAGAATCAAGATGTGCTTGTTAATCTAAACAGGTGAATAATCGTTAGTCATACAGATATTTCTCAGTGTCTGATTTTTTTTAATTAAAATTTTTTTTTCTTTTGATTATAGAGAGAGGGGGAGAGGAGGGAGAAAGAGGGAGAGAAACATCACTATGAGAAACATCGATCAGTTGCCTCTTGCACATGCCCTGAGGGGACTGAACCTGCCACCCAGGCATGTGCCCTGATCAGGAATTAAACTGGTGACCTTTCGGTTTGCAGGCTGATGCCCAACCAACTGAGCCACACTGGCCAGGGCCTAATTTTGTTCTTCTCCATTTCCTTTTTTTTCTTAAGGACTAGAAAAATATTTAAGGAGTACTAACAGGCTTCTGATCATTACTCAATAGGAACATCTGTAGTTGAAAGTATCCCTTCTGAGCTGCCAAGCACATATGTGGGTCTGGCTGCAAATATTGGGCTCTGGGATTTATAACAATAACCCTTACTATCACTTCATGTAAGTCACAGAGGGCTCTGGTATGCTGGACTGGCAACTGACAAACTGCATTATGCCAAGATACAATTGTGGATTTCACATCAAGAATCTCCAAATACTCAGGGATACTTTAGACATGAAATGGCTTTCAGCTAGGGCTGGGATTTACTGTCTCAACTGTCAATCTTCCTAAGATAGTTGGCTAGCTAGAAAGGAGTCAGGTGCCCTTTGGGAGCATGGAAAATTCTATAGGGGAAGTAGCATAACTAGGAGTCAATGAAAAGTCAAATCACTAAGGATCCTTACTTGGTTCCTGGTCTGGAGATCATTTTAAATAATAAAAACAAGCACAGGCTTACATCTTTCCTTCTGAATCTTAAAGATTCATAAAAATAATATAGACATAGTTTGACTTGATTGAAGGCTGGAACAGAAATTTGTTTTTTCATTATTTAGGCTTAAAATTAGAATTATGGAATAAACCCTTATATTTGTTTCAGGTGATTCCAGAGGGAGGTGGAGAATACACATTTGAGAATGTCAGACACTCCTAATTTTTTTTAAGTCAAGGATTTAGAGATCATCTTTACTTACGTGGGTTGGTTTACAGGCATATCTTGTTTTATTGCATTTTGCTTTATTGTGCCTCACAGATACTGTGTTTTTTTTACACAAGTTGAAGGTAAGACCCTCTACCAGCAAAAAGATTACAAGTCAGTGAGGGTTCAGGTAATGCTGAGCATTTTTTAGCAATTAAGTATTTTTTAATTAAAGTATGTACATTGTTTTTTTTTCTTTTTAAGACACAATGCTATTGTACACTTAATAGAATACAGTGTAAGCATCACTTTTATATGCACTGGGAAATCAAAAAAATTATGACTTGCTTGGTTGTGATACTCTTTACTGTGGTGGTCTGAAACAGAACCCACTATATCTCCAAGGCCTATCTGAACTTACGTGCAGAGAGAAGAGGTATTTGTCTTACAATATAAAAGCACCTGAGAAATAAATAGCCTCAAGTAAGGAATGGAGTTTAAATCACTTGAGTGAAGTAGGTATTAACTCCTATTTTTAAATATTTTTACAAGTGGACATTCTTAATCTTTAATAGACCATCACACTATGTTATACGTAGGGAAATCAAATATTTCCAAGTTTATCACACCTACATCTGTAGGTTTAAGCTTAATGTAAATCTACTGCACTGTGGTAACTTCGTGGAATATATGAGAATTTCCAAATAACAAAAGTTTTCAAATATTTGATTACTGTTGTTAAATCACTGATGGTTGAAATCTCTTGAGTGATTTCATCTCTGAACTAAGGTTTTCAATGCTAACAGTTTATAGGAGTTACATTTTCCTTAGCTCTTAAGTAAGCCCTGAAATATGTAGATAGGCCTGTCACTAAAGAAAGATACATTAAGAGAACATATTACATTTAAAAGAGTGATCAACTTTGAGTCTGTTAGCATCTTCCAATCTCAAAATTTAGTTTCAGTTAGTAATAAAGCACTTTGAAAAGTATTTTTAATCTATAAATGACCTATTCACAATGTGGAGGTAGGAAGAAACTCACTCTCAAGTTTTCTGACACTTTGGTTTAGTCCTCTATGGTTTGAACTTTTATTTCTTGACTAAATTTATATTTTGCATCTCTGTAAGCACTGTAAATGTTTTACAGCTTATTTTGGGGGGGGGGGGGTCAAAAACTGATGGGGAATTAGTGGTACTGCTAAGCTAGTATCCTAGATTTGGAATTTTTGACCCAAAAGCCATGAAGCCTTAAGATTATCATAGAGGAGAATTATATTTCTGAGGATAATGAGGAGGGAAACTGCCATTATACTCTTAATTCTAGCTAGAATTTCATAAAATAGCTGCAAACATGCAGAACGGAGGAGAACATTTCTAGGAACAATAAAGTTAGATGGGAAATGATAGAAGAATATGAAAAGCATTATGTTTTTGAAAAAAAAATAACTTCAGTGTGTCACTTTGTAGGACCAAATCATATTTAGAAATAATTTCCATAAATAAATATAGCTAACTTTCAGTTGTCTCAGGTAGTCTGCTCCTCTGGAATGGGTCAGTATGGTCAGGGACAAAGGCATTAACAAGTTGCTCCCCCCCACTTTTCTTTTTTATTTGGTGTGACTAGAAGACTGTTTTTATTGATGGGGGGCAGGAGGCTAATCTGAAATTCTTTACCCATCTGCAAGTATTCTGTAAACAGGATAGCAGAGTAGTTAAAAATATGGGCTCTGGATTAAAATAAACCTGGGTTCAAGTCATGACTGAAACATATCAGCTATGCAGTATTAAATAGCTTATCTGCTCCTTTCCCTCATTTTCCTCATGCACACAATAGGAATAACAACAGTATGAACCTCACAGGTATTGCCTTACAGATTAAATGTGTTAACCCAAGGAAAAGTATAGTATGGCTATTAGTTTAGAGTACTCAACACAAGTTAGGTATTTTTATTGCTCAAGAAGTAAACCAGCTAAATTGGAAAATGTTCCTTATTCTAATATTAAAACCTCCATCAGGTTTAATAAGCAAGAGGGTAATTTAACAAAAAAATTATAAATTGTCTTGTTTTTACATTTTGGCAAATAAAGGGGAAATGACAGCTCTCCAGATTAGAGGCTACTCAATAAATGATGTCAGGAGAGCTTTCTATGTATAATAAAGTCACATATCTACGTCTTACCACGTGTAAAACCCAAATGCAGGATTAAATATTTAAAATATAAAAAAAATTATACAAACAAATACCAGAAGAATATATAAGCAAATATTTATGTAATCTTGAGGATGAAAACAACTTTTCTAAGCATGACACCAAGGCAGAAACCAAAAATACTAATGGACCTGACGTCAAAAATAAAATTCTTAAGGTGAAAACAAAAATAAAGGTGGCAAAACAAACAATAAGCAACAAAATGGGAAAATACATTTGCAGCGTATCTTTTCTTTAAAGGGTTTTCTAAATATAAAGAATTGCTACAAATTATTAAAAATGCCAACATTAAAAAATGTAGGCTAAAGACAAGTGTGAGTAATTTACAGAGGAAGAAATAAAATGCATCATTAAATACAGGAAAAAGTACTCTGCTTCAACAATAGTAACAATGCCAATTAAGACACTGATTTTTTTACCTGTCAGGCTGGCTATTAAAAATACTACTAATTGTTACATTGGGGGGCTTGCTCATGCAAGGTTTTGTACACAGGTAAACTAGTTCAAGTTTTGTGGACAGAAGTTTAAAAATAATAGATTATATGGATCTGTTTCTTAGCACAAATATATCCATGATACTAAATTTTAAAAAGATGCTATACATAGTGTGTTCCCATTTAAATATAACTGTAGGAGTAATAATATTAGCTTCCTCAAGGATGTCATGAATAAATGAGGTTTATTCATGTAAGATGCTTAGAATGTGTGACACAGTCAATGACTAAAAAATGTGTTATTACCGTGTCTCTTGTGTCGGTGTACATAGAAAAAGAGTATGAAAGGATATGAACCAAATGCTAATTAGTTCTGATTAGTGGGATTACATTTTTCTCAGTTTTATTAAAAAGCTTTTGGTGGTTTTATAAGAAAAATAAAGCTATTAAAAATTAAATTTAGAATATGTTTCTTGCTCGTGTTAGCTACTTTACCACTCTGAATGCCTGTCCTCCCTATCTGTTCAGGAGTGAGCCCTGGTTAAGATCCATTCTGTACATATGAGATTCTCTTGACAATTACCATATGGCTGATGACTTTTTCTATTATAAGGGAAACAAATGAGGCTGAGATCTTTCTTCTACATAT